CTACCAACTGAGCTACACGGGACTGACAGCCGTTCTGAATGTGAGCACCTCATGCGACAAGAGTTTGCCGCCATCCCTCCCTCTAACTGGACCACTTTTGTAAATGTTTTGTTGTCTTAGTGAGGGAAATGCTGTAATTAAGTGGACCTGATGTATTTTGAAAGATGAGACGTTGAGGATTATATTAAATACCACTTTGATGTCATACAAGCAAGACAAACACCTGTGAGTCCAAATGTGCACTTCACATTTCCATATCGTAAAACTATATTTGATGTATAGTTACAAGATGACATGGCGTCATACCCCGGGTTGTTCTGAATGAGCCTGTGTTTGTCTACCGTGAAGAAAATTTGCAGCGGAACACGCAGCTGAATACATCACGCACCTGAATATATGCGCACCAAAATTACGATCTGTTTCTCTGAATTGCCTTGTGAAAGCCTAACACTGTGAGATCGTTTTTGATAACTTAGCTATTCATGTTGGCAATAGAAAAAGCTTTCAAATGATGCCCACCTGACGCAGATCGCAATTTAAAAATTGGCATTTTCTGGATTGCGTAAACAGTAAATGTGTGATGGTGGGGATGCAGGGTTGTGTTCCCAACAACACAACTCCAAGTGTCCTTGCTCTAGTTCCTCACCAGCACAGCTAGGAGAGCTAAAAAAAAAAAGCACCTTATAGTTGAAGACTGTTTTTGAGTCAAAACACATTGAAATTACTTAGAAACTGTGCACACTTTGCAGAGGTATGTGGTCACTTGGAGACACCAGTTATTTATCTCACTCAAACCCTTGTAATATATTTTTCTTATGTTGCACCTACCCCACATGTTCCAGGAATATTCTTATCATGTTACTGAATGTATCCAGAGTATTTTCAGATTTTGTTATCAACAAATGTGGCGAAAAGTACAGTGAATGTAAAATGCTCATAAAATCACCAGTGTATGGATTCAGTCTGGGGTCAGGTGAACTGTTGTGTCCTCAACTATGGTCTAATAATTTCCCCCATAATCTCGAAACTGTTCCCTTTCAATTGCTACCATGGTTATGCATTTCATATTTATTCTGTAAGAAACATTTCAATTTATCCCTATCCATATAGGCCAATTCCCATGAGTGTAAAGGGTTATTAATCACCGCTGACCAGAGTGACAGGTGGTTGTTGCCACTGAGCCTCAGCCAGCCTCGTGGGGACAATATTTATCACTTTGTTTACGGATTAGTACCGGATTGCTGCACCAATTCCATCAAAACTATAACCCTCCCCAAAACGACTAAAACCTGCACCCTAAATCAGAACACATCATTGGGTGAGTAGGGGATGTTAAAATGACGTGCCAAGGGACACGGTTTGACAGACAGGGACACTGTGGAATGCTGGGTAACATCCCCCTCCTGCAGCCACTCCCCAATTCTATTCTTCCACAGTATGGAGGGAAAGTGCTCCCCTGAGGACAACTGGGTCAAGTCGGGGAAACCAGCACCAACACTGGACCTGAACCATCTCGGGAAGAAAAGAAAGAACTACACATTCTTCTAGCGTCTGTCCACACCAGACCACTAGTCATTTTTCAATGGACCGGCTGTTGGGGTACAACAATTGCTGTGTGTTTTGTGTCTATGTGTGAAATAAGAGAAAGAAATGAAAAGTGAGTGATTCTGCGTAAGCGTGCACATTTTGTGTTGTAAATAATGGATTAGAGGTACTTCTTACAGAAAAAACAACAGTGGTCAAAAGGGACACGGGAGTGCTGCTAGAGGAGTCAATAAGTCAATAATTCATGCCAAAAGGAGATTTAGAAACACATGCTTCTTTTCCTCTGGACCTTCATCACATTGAAAATCCCAGAACTTGCAAAGCTGCCTTGTAGACTCTAAAGCCATTAGAGAAGCTACATCCATAAACTGTCACGATTATCTTATTTATTTATTATTTAACCAGGCAAGTCAGTTAAGAACAAATTATTATTTACAACGACGGCCTACACCGGCCAAACCCGGACGACGCTGGGCCAATTGTGCCCCGCCCTATGGGACTCCCAATCACGGCCGGTTGTGATACAGCCTGGAATCAAACCAGGGGGTCTGTAGTGACACGTCAAGCACTGAGATGCAGTGCCTTAGACCGCTGCGCCACTCGGGAGTCCCATCTTAGAAGACATTCAACTAAATTCAACTCTGCACGATGGAAGGCATGTTTGGTAGACATTGAAAGCATAATATCACAGCAAATACTGACCATGGAAATACTGACCAGGGAAATACTGACCAGGGAAATACTGACCAGGGAAATACCCTTTTCCAAAAATGTTTATTCTTTATTGACATGTTAAGAAAGACACCATGTTGCAGCGTATGAATAGCTTGACTCTTCTTTGGGCAGCCAGACAGTGCTGAACTCAACAGCACATCATCATAACACCAGACCAGACCATGGAGCTCTGTCCCAGACCCACATCATCATAACACCAGACCAGACCATGGAGCTCTGTCCCAGACCCACATCATCATAACATCAGACCAGACCATGGAGCTCAGTCCCAGACCCACATCATCATAACACCAGACCAGACCATGGAGCTCAGTCCCAGACCCACATCATCATAACACCAGACCAGACCATGGAGCTCAGTCCCAGACCCACATCATCCTAACACCAGACCAGACCATGGAGCTCTGTCCCAGACCCACATCATCCTAACACCAGACCAGACCATGGAGCTCATTCCCAGACCCACATCATCCTAACACCAGACCAGACCATGGAGCTCAGTCCCAGACCCACATCATCATAACACCAGACCAGACCATGGAGCTCAGTCCCAGACCCACATCATCCTAACACCAGACCAGACCATGGAGCTCAGTCCCAGACCCACATCATCATAACACCAGACCAGACCATGGAGCTCAGTCCCAGACCCACATCATCCTAACACCAGACCAGACCATGGAGCTCAGTCCCAGACCCACATCATCCTAACATCAGACCAGACCATGGAGCTCAGTCCCAGACCCACATCATCATAACACCAGACCAGACCATGGAGCTCAGTCCCAGACCCACATCATCCTAACACCAGACCAGACCATGGAGCTCAGTCCCAGACGCACATCATCCTAACACCAGACCAGACCATGGAGCTCAGTCCCAGACCCACATCATCCTAACACCAGACCAGACCATGGAGCTCAGTCCCAGACCCACATCATCATAACACCAGACCAGACCATGGAGCTCAGTCCCAGACCCACATCATCCTAACACCAGACCAGACCATGGAGCTCAGTCCCAGACCCTCATGGCTGAGCCCTCCGTCTGTCTCCCCTGAGAGGAACAGGAAGTCACATAAATACATAGTTTTCCCTCCTTTTCTTTCCCACAGAGCAGAGTGTATATCATCACATGTACTTCACCATTCAGTTACACACAACGTTCACACTCATGTTGTGTCTCATGTTGTGTGGCTGGCTGACAGCAGCTGGTGTCTGTTTGTATGTATGTGCATGTTCACATAGATACAATCAGATTGCACTTTTGTACAAATCTTGAATGCTATGCACTGGTTGTTGAATATTACAATAGCTTGTCACTTCAAATTGCATTTTTTAAATAAATATTGGTCCACCTTTCAGTAGACTTATGTCAAGGACACCCAGAACCTTCTGTTCCCTTTCGAGATAATTCACTCTTTCCTGTATCAACCTGTCTCTCACTCTTTCCTGTATCAATCTGTCTCACTCTTTCCTGTATCAATCTGTATCACTCTTTCCTGTATCAATCTGTCTCACTCTTTCCTGTATCAATCTGTATCACTCTTTCCTGTATCAATCTGTCTCACTCTTTCCTGTATCAATCTGTCTCACTCTTTCCTGTATCAATCTGTCTCACTCTTTCCTGTATCAATCTGTCTCACTCTTTCCTGTATCAATCTGTCTCACTCTTTCCTGTATCAATCTGTCTCACTCTTTCCCGTATCAATCTGTCTCACTCTTTCCTGTATCAATCTGTCTCACTAGACCTACCATCCTGATCCCTCTTCCATTGAGCTGTGTCTGTCTCTCCTCCAACCCCAGACAGCACCCCTACTCATCCACCCTACACTTACCTCAACCATCCACTCATGACATCACTATCTTTGTCATCCGTGCCCAGACATATACCTTCTTCACTGAATAAACAGAGACACTAACTGGACCAATGCAGCCCTATGCTTGATTAGACACCATGTTCCATTGCAGTACAGAAAACGACGACAGTACACAGCTACAGACGATACTCTATCCCTGACCTGAACACGTCTGTTTCAACAGGGAGTTGTGAGTATAGGTGAAACTACGCTTTGTTGAGATGAGGACGTACATTGACTTTCACTTGCATGCTTGACAGCAACATCAACGGTTTTAATTAACAGTCTTACAGCCAAGGTTAGAAGATAATTTTTTTTTTTCTTTTATTTCACAGTATCAATGAAGTTCTAGACTTTCTTGCTCCTCACACACACACACACACACACACACACACACACACACACACACCTGAATGTGTGAGAGCTGTGAAACATCCAGAGCCTATTCTTGCATCGTTAAGAGTCTGTAAATTCTAGCTCCAACGCCTGTGCAGACAGAACAGGGCTCTGGACCCTAAAAGTACCTGTATTTCAGACAGACACACCACAGCAGGAACCACAGCATCTGGTCAACGTCATCATTGTCATCATCAGCATTCAGTCATTTCTACCACTGCCATTATTGCTTTGAATATTTGTTTAGGGAGGAGTGTGATTTCTCATCCTACTTCTCTTCTAAGGAAGCAGTCCTGACCCCCCCCCCCACCCCCCTCCCCAAAGAAAGGCAACACAATACAGAATCACAATGTCCTCCTGGAAAAGATGTACCCCTCAATGGTCTGTGGGATTTATCAATAAATAATAAACAACGTGGGGTAGGCCTGGGTATCATTCCAGAGCCTCCCCCTCCTGTCTCTTTCCTCTAAACGTTGGACACAGCGTTGGAGTCCCGAGCCTGGCGGATCCCGTACAGCCACTTGATGACACGAGCATTCCTCTCGATGATTGAGATTCCGTAGGGGACACGCTCCCCGGGTCGGGCATGACCCTCCTCGCCCTCCACCTCCCCTTGTTCCTGCGCCTGCTCACACTCAGAGCTGGCGGTGCTGACGCTGCGCAGCTTGGACACAGACACAATATCTGAGCTGGCTCTGGCAAAGCGCTCCACTCCCCCCATGCCCTCCACCTCATCTGGGTGCAGCCCACAGTAGTTGAAGAAGCGTTCCAGGTCCGCTGTGGCTCGTGAGTACCGGTCACTCAGGTCAGACTTGGAGCGGTGTAGGGAGGGGTGTTTACGGGCCGAACCGGGGCGAGACCCCCTGGAGCTGGCTGAAGACAGGCGGGTGAAAGCAGGGGAGGCCGGGGGCATCATGCCCGCCCGGATCAGTATGGGGCTGGGAGGCAGGTAGGTTGGGGGAGAGGGTAGAGGCTGGGTGGGGGTGAGGGGCTGAGGCTGGGGCTGGGCCTGCTGTGAGGGTGGTGGTGATGGGGCCTGGGGCTTAGCCACCTGGGGCTGGGAAGTCTGTCTGGGCTTGATCTGAGGCTGGAACTGGGTCCTCTGGGGCTTCCTCGGCTCAGCCTGGGGCCTCACATCCACCCTGCGCACCATCACTGAGTTAGGAGAGCTGTAGGGAGCTGGCACACCCACCCTTATACCCCGAGCTGGGACAGGGGGCGGCCGGTGGCTGGGCTCGGCTGGGCAGGTCTGGCTGTTGTTATTGTTGAGGGGAGAGGAGGTGGAAGAGGAGGAGGTGGTGGAGGAGGTGTTGCAGTTATTAACAGGTTTAAGATTGTTCAGGACTCGATTGATCCTCTCCTGGTCAGCTGAAAGTCCATTCCCCATGCTGTTCCCCCCAGATGAAGGAGAGGAGGCGGAGGGTGAGGAGGGGATGGGAGATGGGGAGCAGAGAAGTGGTCCATCACACACGTTGTTGATGAGGTTGTTGAGGATCTCCAGGTTAAGAGGTGGTCCCCTCCGCCACCCTACCCCTCCTGTTCCTCCTCCGTTCTCTGAGTCGGCAGGCCGCCGGGGCACCTTGCGGGCCGGGGGGGCGTTGATCCGACACTGCAGCATCATGCCCGGGGACAGCAGAGGCTTGCGGATGATGGGTGGTTTGACAGGCTCCTGCCTGGTGAGCACCACCTGCTGGCTCTTCACATACTTGGCCTTGTCCGCCTCCAGGCGCTCCACCGCGCTCAGCTTACGGGCTCCAGGCTCCGCTGGCCGCCGGAAGTAGTCAGGTCCCTTGTTGAGGATGCGGAAAGGCATGGCTGAGGTGAAGGGGACCCCCACCAGACGTCCGTCTGAGGGTCGGAGGGTCTCTACAGGCATTCTGGAGCTGTGAAGGAGGAGCAGAGCGTTAAGAAAAGAGAGTGAGACTGGGGGTAATGTTCATTGTCCTTTTTGTGCTCACAAATGTCCTAAACCAAAGAAAATAGGAATTTTGTATTCCCCTTTTATCCCCCCGTCTCCTCTCCTCCCTCCACCCAAGGCCCCCTTTAACTTTCTTACTTGTTTATCTGTTCCTGCTGCTGCTATTTCTCCTCCGTTCTTCCTCCTTTCTTCACGTCGTCCCTCTGGTCTATTATCTGTCCTCCTCACTGAAAGGCTACTTGTGGGACAGAGTCACCATGGCTCGCACACCACATCAGTCTGACTCAGTGACCCAACGGGGGCAGATCCTGCAGTTGCAGCTGCTGGTTGGTCCCTTTAACTAGATCACACAGCAGAAAACAGTCTGGCTCAGCCACAGACTGTCAGAGCAACTAAATCTCCTGATCCTGCTCCGTCTGTCTGGTCCGATCCTCCCACTGTCCTCAAAAGCAGCAGATCAACTGGCAGCTCCGCAGATTCCCGGGGTCCCTGGAGTGATGCTCCAGCAGGGCTCCTGGAGAGGAGAGAGAGAGACAGAGGAAGACGGTGTCAGACTAACAGGACAACCACAGGGAGCTCCTCTCCCAGTAACGTAACTACTCCACATTAACAAAAGCACACACTAAAGGAAAGGAGAGCAGACCGCCCAGCTTTAATATGCCGTCTGACTCCTCCCCTAAAAACGCTCACAGCCTCTGGCTCCTGGGTCCCACGGCAGCCAATCACAGGCCAGACTGGGAATCTCAGCAGGGCAGGGAGGAGGGGTGGAGGGTGGGAGCTGCACTGCTATTGGCTGTGGTCAAAGGATCTGACCAATTGCACCCCTCCCCCGACTGACAACAAAACACTGGGACTGAATTTTCATTCAAATTAAATGATTTGAAAGGGAGAAGAAAACAATTTTTAAAAAGGAGAGAGAGAAAGGGGGAGAGAGAGAGTGGGTAAAACAGCTGCAATATTTTACATTCAGTTGCATCAAACACAGCAGGATCTTATGAAAACATTTCAACTTCCTCATAAAAAAAAAATATATAATAATAATAATTGTAAAGTGGTTATCCCACTGGCTATAGGGTGAATGCACCAATTTGTAAGTCGTTCTGGATAAGAGCGTCTGCTAAATGACGTAAATGTAAATGTAAAATTACTCCACATGTTCTGCTCTCTGTTCAACATTACAGACAGACACTGAGAGAAAGTCTTTGTGATGAAATATGGGCAGGTCAAAACTGTCAAGGCAGATGATATGAAGTTTTATAACCGCTCCATAACACCAGACCTGATCCTCTTAATCCCAGTACAACACTCAGGCGCAACACCTCTTCCTGGTAAACATGGGCCTTTTTTAATACTCTTTATGCATGTGTTGACTGGAGAAAGAAGAGAATTGCTCCATTGCTGTTCTGGTCTCACAGCAGATTACAGCTCTCATCCACCACTTAGTTCTCCTCCTTTCTTGATCCCCAGTTTCAGAGGAATTGAAAAGCAATTCCGTTTTTTTTTATTTGTCGTCTTCACACATCTTTTTTCATTACAGTTACACCATCAAACTCCCGGATTACATCACACTGAGTCCTTCCGGGCTCATCTCTTTCCCCTCACCGCCATCATCATCATCCTCACCATCACCATCATCATCACCATCACCATCATGACCATATTCATCCGCACATTTTTTATGTATCTTTTTATAGCCTTGCTGTCTCCCAGAGCCCAGTAGCATCAGAGAGAGAAAGCAGGGCCGGCAGGCGGTTCATACTACTGTAGCTCAACTCACACTGCTCCTTTCATCCTCCGTATGACACAAACTAAAGAACAACTCTCCACTGAAATAGACCCAAATAGACATAAGAGCACTAGCGGTAAATGCCTTCGCTGCTCTAGCTACATCCTGTTATGTTATGTTGAAGCATGGAGAGGACAAGTCACCACACAGAAAGGACATGACTATAATCACGACATTGGCACATAAAACAAGGTTGCATTGTCTTGTGTAGCTCAGTCTCTCCTCACACACTGAGCTGTCTCGAAGAGGCAGGTATTTTAATAGCTGGCACAGTTGCTCAGGCATGAGTGGTGTTCTGGGTGAGGTGGCTGGCTGGCTGGCAGGCGCTCTAGTGTCTGGTCTTTACCCGACCTAGTCATCATTCACATCCACAGCTACTGTGGAGCTCTCCGAACACAGCCATGCTGCAGCCCTACAGGGCCAGAGACATACACGCAAGGACAGGACACTGTCAAACACTCCAACACTGCAGCTCCTGGTCAAAGGCCAGACAAATCTCACACAGACAGACAGCGACCTTTCCAGAACCCACTCAACCTAGATTCTTGTTCAGACAAGAGACTCAGTAACCCCCCCCCCCCCAATCTCCTTTTTCTCGCTCCTGACCTAATCAATTTCCCAGTTAACTGCCACACTCATTCTGTTGTGTGATTAGCATTCTTGTATGGTTAGCATACTGGGTGTAATCACACCAACAAAGGAGTGGCATTGTTCTGGTGGTAATTAGGATAACCCTCTCCTGTTCCTGGTGATGAAACACATGGCTGTCCTTTTCTCCCTGGACGGTGTCGCTGCCTACCGCCCATAAAAACCCATCCTAACTGACGGCATTATCCTCAAATTCACTCGCTTTGTTATCTGTGGCCCCAGCCAGAGATACGGCCATGAATCCCAAATACTGTGCGTTAAGAAGGGAGGTGTCGAAACACAACCCACCAACACAGTCCAACACTAAAGCTATCCATCTCCTCCTGAAGACCTGGCTATTGTCATTCAGAGGTAGGCAGGTACACACGGTCCTCTTCCATCTTGCCCCCAACACCAATGGGCTGCCAGTGTTTTATGTTAATGTATCTCTAGTGTTATAGTGTTTGCATCAGGACGACGACACTAAAGACTTGAGCAGAATCAACAACCTCTGCATCATTCGAAACTGTTGCTTTGTGTGAAGGTTCACAGTTAATTAGCCATTGTTATGTAAATTTGTTTTTACACTGCTGCTACTCGCTGTTTATTATCTATGCATAGTCACTTTACCCCTACCTATATTTACATTTGACATTTTAGTCATTTAGCAGACGCTCTTATCCAGAGCGACTTACAGTTAGTGAGTGCATACATTATTATTTTAAAAAAATTAAATGGGGGAATCGAACCCACAACCCTGGCGTTGTAAGCGCCATGCTCTACCAACTGAGCTACACGGGACCCAGCTATATGAACAAATTACCTCGACTATCCTGTACCCCCGCACATTGACTCGGTACCGGTACCCCCATGTATATAGCCTCGTTATTGTTATTTTATTGTGTTACTTTTTATTTTATTTTTTACTTTATTTGATTTGGTAAATATTTTCTTAACTCTTTCTTGAACTGCATTGTTGGTTTAGGGCTTATAAATAAGCATTTCACGGTAAGGTATTTGGCGTATGTGACAAATCAGGTTTGATTTGATGTGATTTGATTTAAATGCAAGCTGAAAAGTACCAGGGCTTTGCCTTGTTAGAGCAGGTCCGCCGGATCCATGGCCCAGTGAGACACGGGTGCCGGCCAGTGTAGATGGAAGGTCCGCCGGAACCATGGCCCAGTGAGACACGGGTGCCGGCCAGTGTAGATGGAAGGTCCGCTGGAGCCATGGCCCAGTGAGACACGGGTGCCGGCCAGTGTAGATGGAAGGTCCGCCGGAACCATGGCCCAGTGAGACACGGGTGCCGGCCAGTGTAGATGGAAGGTCCGCTGGAGCCATGGCCCAGTGAGACACGGGTGCCGGCCAGTGTAGATGGAAGGTCCGCCGGATCCATTGGCCAGTGAGACACGGGTGCCGGCCAGTGTAGATGGAAGGTCCACCGGAGCCATGGCCCAGTGAGACACGGGTGCCGGCCAGTGTAGATGGAAGGTCCACCGGATCCATGGCCCAGTGAGACACGGGTGCCAGCCAGTGTAGATGGAAGATCCGCCGGATCCATGGCCCAGTGAGACACGGGGGCCGGCCAGTGTAGATGGAAACAGAAAAGTCTGAGCCTTTTGGGTAAAACACTGGGGTAAATCCTCAGTGAAAATGCACCAACACAGTGCAGGTCCGTATCCTAATGTCTTCTCTATGGGACTATAATGGGTGTGTAAACGTCAGTGTCATAGTGTATTTAATGCCCCAGCCTGAGGGGTGACCTGATATGACAACAAGAGGCCCTCAACGACCTGACAACTGGACAGGGGACGGGGGACGGAAGAAAGGACAGTATTACTTCCCGATGGAAACAAAAACACACCTCCAATGGCATGGCATGCTGGGTAAGAGACAGCCCTTGGATTTACTGCCTGGCTGGCTGAACATTCAACTACATCACTCAGGTTTGGACCTTAAGTTGGATCAAACCTTCAGTTGGACCGACCACAGAAACGGAGAACGGAAATAGCCTGGTTAGAAAAAACATAGCTAACAGTGATATTCTACTTCTTTGTTGTGTTAAAGCACACCCTCAGTGTGGTCGGAAGAAACCGGAAACATCCGGTTTTCAGTGATACAAGAAAGGCAATAGTGCACGTGACATCAACAACTTGAAACAGTATCTTCAACCTATCTTAATTTCCCCTGAAAACTAGACGCCTGCTATGTTAGGTTACGTTTAATTTCCCCTGAAAACTAGACGCCTGCTATGTTAGGTTACGTTGAGTGTACCGTTTTTCATCCAGCTGATGATTAGTGGATAATGATATGCCTTACGGGAAAAGCACATGGGGAAGTGATGCCATAAGATAAGTGCTTCATCTATTGGTGGTCAGTGAGCAACGAGCATGCTGGGAAAGAGGGGTTCAACCCAGTGGCCTCCGGCTAAAAGGAAAAAGAAGCCCACAGAGATCCAGAGTACATAACCAGAGAGCCATGAGGGGTAATTACAGGGCAATACTGGGGCTGGGAGCACTCTGCTTCTCCTGTAATACAGCATCTATCAGTTTACTGACTGGATGCCATATACAACAGACAGTGACCCGTGAGAGAGAGAGAGAGAGAGAGAGAGAGAGAGAGAGAGAGAGAAAGGGAGAAGAGAGAGCGAGAGAAAGAGAGGAGAGAGAGAGAGAGAGAGAGAGAGAGGAGAGAGAGTGAGAGGAGAGAGAGAGAGATAGAGAGGAGAGAGAGAGAAAGAGATAGAGAGGAGAGAGAGAGGAGAGAGAGTGAGAGGAGAGAGAGAGAGAGAGAGAGTGAGAGAGAGTGTGTGTATGTGTTCACTGAGGAATTCTAAATATATATATATCCTATGCGTCAGGTGAATAGGACTTCCATCCATCAGGCATCTAAAAGGGTTCAAAAAGCGGTGGACAGTAGTCCTGGAAAGCAGTCTCAATACAGTAGCCGTGAGCAAGACCGAAATACAAACAAACACAGTGAGATGGTGTGACTGACTGACTTCCTGGACTGAGAGTATAGGTGCCCCTCCAGAGCTGTGAACTCACCTCAGTCTGTGGAGATATGTATGAGCCTTGTCCTCTACTCGAATGACTGCTGGTTACAGACAGACTGAAATAAAATGAACATAACCTCAGTATGTATAACATAGCCTTAACTCGTCAAAAAGACAAAAGGAAGGCAACTCCACACAACGGTAATCCAATGGTCTGCACTGACAGACCAATCAGCACCAACCCCACCACCAAATGTGCTCCAGATTTTTGGTCACCCAGCAGTTCAGAGGTTATCAAGCAGTCTATCTCCAGGGGTGATTTAAGAGGTTTTACTGGAGTAATGAAGAAAGAGAGCTTTTCCCAGGGGAGGAGTGCAGCTGCAATTCCACAGTATCAGCAAATATCACAGATTTAAACCAAAAACCTGATGACTTTATGGCATAGGGTCAATGCCTATCTCCTCCACACATATGCTGAACTGCATTCAAGTTTCCCACCCCCCTAACAATCACACTCCCAGCAGGACAAAGTCAACTGTGAGAGTCACATTAGAGCCAGTCTTTAACAAGAGAGTTATTACAGCATCAAACTCTCCCTCCCCCCACGGTACTCCCTCCCCACTCCCCACTCCACCTCTAACCCAGCACTGTCTGGCTCTATGGCCACAGTCCCATTCTCAATTAAATCAAATCAAATGTTATTTATCACATGCTACGAATACAGCTGGTGTAGACTTTACAGTGAAATGCTTTCCCAATGATGCAGTCCCAATGGACCTTCCACTCTAACCTCTCAATTACCATCTATCTATCATCATAATGTTCACAACCATTCATGTTCCTCTGAAATCCCTAACCCTAAGGCTCAGTCCCCAGCCCTGCTAATCTTAATGTTAGATAACACAGTATAGACAGAGCCCTTTACTGTGGTAGCTCAGGAGAGAGAAAGGGAGCACAGAGCAATGAATGCATTGCAAAGATATGCAGGCACGGACACAATCACAAACATGTCCATAGTCAGCCAGCCAGCCAGTAATCACAGAGATGTGATTCTGGGGAGAGAGTGGCCAGGCTGAGTCACCAGATGGTCCTCCCTGTTGGCTTTGCCAGAGAACCCCACTTTCCCACAGACACACACAGACACACACACCTCAGTCATCATCCAATGATTAACCCCTGGAATCCCAGGTTGTTTTGCCATAGGCAATGTAAATGTAATAGGCAGGCAGAGAGCCTCTCAAAGTCCAAAGTGCCCAGGAGAGAGAGGGGCAGTTTGTTTGTTTTAACTGACGGCCTGAGGAGATATGACCCTCTACAGTGCATTCAGAAAGTATTCAGACCAATTGACTTTTTCCACATTTTGTTATGTTACAGCCTTATTCTAAAATGGATCCATTATTTTTTACATCAATCTACATTTTTGCTAAAAAAAGAAAAAAACTAAAAAATACCTTATTTACATATTTAGTATTCAGACCCTTTGCTATGAGACAAACATTTTTACTCAGGTGAATCCTGTTTCTACAACTTGATTGGAGTCCACCTGTGGTAAATTCAATTGATTGGACATGATTTAGAAAAGGCACACACCTGTCTATATAAGGTCCCACAGTTAACAGTGCATGTCAGAGCAAAAACCAAGCCATGAGGTCAAAGGAAATGTCCGTAGAGCTCCAAGACAGGATTGTTTTGAGGCACAGATCTGGAGAAGGGTACCAAAACATTTATGCAGCATTGAAGGTCTCCAAGAACACAGTGGACTCAACCATTCTTAAATGGAAGAATTTTGGAACCACCAAGACTCTTCCTAGAGCTGGCCGCCCAGACAAACTGAGCAATGGGGGGAGAAGGACCTTGGTCAGGGAGGTGACCAAGAACCCGATGTTCACTCTGACAGAGCTCCAGAGTTCCTCTGTGGAGATGGGAGAACCTTCCAGAAGGACAACCATCTCTGCAACACTCCACCAATTAGGCCTTTATGGAAGACTGGCCAGACAGAAGCCACTCCTCAGTAAAAGGCATATCACAGCCCGCTTGGAGTTTGCCAAAAAGCACCTAAAGGACTCAGACTATGAGAAACAAGATTCTCTGGTCTGATGAAACCAAGATTGAACTCTTTGGCCTGAATGCCAAGCATCACGTCTGGAGGAAACCTGGCACCATCCCTACGGTGAAGCATAGTGGTGGCAGCGTCATGCTGTGGGGATATTTTTCACCGGCAGGGACTGGGAGACTAGTCAGGATCGAGGGAAAGATGAACGGAGCAAAGTACAGAGAGATCCTTGATGAAAACCTGCTCCAGAGCGCTCAGGGCCTCAGACTGGGGCAAAGGTTCACCTTCCAACAGGATAACGACCATAAGCACACAGTCAAGACAACGCAGCAGTGGCTTCGGGACAAGTCTCTGAATGTCCTTGAGTGGCCCAGCCAGAGCCCAGACTTGAACCCGATCTAATATCTCTTGAGAGACCTGAAAATAGCTGTGCAGCGACGCCCCCCATCTAACCTGACAGAGCTTGAGAGGATCTGCAGAGAAGAATGGGAGAAACTCCCCAAATACAGGTGTGCCAAGCTTGTAGTGTCATACCTAAAAAACTTGAGGCTGTAATCGCTGGCAAAAGTGCTTCAACAAAGTACTGAGTAAAGGGTCTGAATACTTATGTAAATGTGATATTTTTATTTTTATTTTTAATAAATGTGCAAACATTTTTAAAACCTGTTTTTGCTTTGTCATTATGGGGTATTGTGTATAGATTGATGAGGGAAAACAACTATTTAATAAATTTTAGAATAAGGCTGCAACGTAACTAAATGTGGAAAAAATCAAGGGGTCTGAATACTTTACGAATGCACTGTACACAGTAGTCTATACACAGGCTGGCAACAGAGACACAACTCACCAGCCAACCTGTGGATCTGACTTAAAGCTACATTATCCCAGTTAGGCATTACAACTGTCCTAGCTACATCATTATCAACAGCATGATCACAGTTTTCAACATGCTCATTCTGAAATGCATTGTTGGTAAGAATGTGTTTACCCTCTTAAATTCTCCCACTGCCATACATACTTTCACCCGATTAAGGCGAGAGAGAGGATTGTCTTCGAGCAGAGTTACCAAATGTTATAATCAAGGCCAGTATTTTTAGGAACATTCCAGCAACAATGAGGCCACAGGAGCCAGAGCCGAGAAGACACAGAGAGAATGGATGGTCTCTGTGTCTTCATGGATAGAAGTCTCCACAGGCTTTGTTTTTTTTTACCACATTTGTTCAGCCAACTTACAACAAATGTATCTAGGTTAGTTTCAAATGGAATGTGCTTCTGGTTAATGTCAATGTCAGTTACATATCTGGAGTACAAAAGTGATTTCCCTTGAGTCAAAGTCTGGTTACCTCAACTAACAGAGCACCAAAGCCTCCTACCATAAAAGCACACAGACACAAACCCCGTCTAAACAATGACTGTTTGATCCGCTCGTCCAGACAGTCCTAGTTTAGTTTACCTGCTTGTGAGTGTTCACGAATGGAATCCTCAGCGGAGTCTCAAAGATCTGGAACCAAGCACTCGCTGGAACACTGAAGATTCCTCTAGTCTAAGTGAAAAGCCAGCTATGAGAATGTAGAGCAGGAGTCTGCGTCTAGAGAGTGAGCGTGTGCTGAGTGCTGTCTGAACACAAACCTGTAGAGGCTGGCTCATTCCCTCATCTCAAACACTCCTCCTCCTGCTCTCACTCCACCCTATGCCTTGAACCAGGAAGAGCCATTCTGGAGCCAGGACGTACGGGCTTTTATTCGCAGCCACATGACATCCCTTACACTTTCTGACACCGTCTTCCCCACTTCCCTTTAAGGATTAGACACATTTTCCTTTACCTGTGACAGATGATCAAGGGAATGGTGCCACTGTGCCAGGGTAGGATTCCAGTACACTGTAAGTCAACTGTCATACAGTGCAGGCATTAGTTTTAACCAGCATAACATCGCCTAATATGTCCCTAACAAACCCCATGAACAAACAATTAACTCTTACCTATTTTATGCACATACACCTCTGGTCTGCTGGACAGGAAGTGATATAACATCATAGAAAAGGATGGGTAAAGGAAAGAAAATCATGTGCAAATGGATGAGGATATCCTGCCGTTAAACCTGACAGGCCTGTGTTACAGCGGCAGGCCTACTGGGAATACCTGGGAAGGACTGAGCTATGTAACACTGCCCTGCGTGAGTCTATGTCCAAGTCCATTCATACCAGCAGCTTTATGGCTTCCTGTAAGCCAGAGCTTTACCGTACTTCTCTTCCACAGTTCAAACACACACGTCTTGCTTATTTATGGGAAACTATATGTAGGGTGGGGTGTTAAGGCCAGGGTTCTGTGTGTAGAATGTTATGTCAGAGAGAACAGCAGAACCAGTCAGATCACAGAGAACAGCAGAACTGGTCAGATCACAGAGAACAGCAGAACTGGTCAGATCACAGAGAACAGCAGAACCAGTCAGATCACAGAGAACAGCAGAACCAGACAGATCACAGAGAACCAGTCAGATTACATAGAACAGCAGAACCCGTCAGATCACAGAGAACAGCAGAACCAGTCAGATCACAGAGAACAGCAGAACCAGTCAGATCACAGAGAACCAGTCAGATCACAGCTCTCTTGCCTCTCCATGAGTATGCCACACAGATGCACAACTCCCGCGACAAACACATTTCTGATCCTTCAAACTGATGTACTTCTGTCCTTGAGCTGTTCTTGTCTATTAATGTTCTATATTATGTCATGTTTCATGTTTTGTGTGGACCCCAGGAAGAGTAGCTGCTGCTTTTGCAACAGCTAATGGGGATGCTAATAAAACACCACCCACTCCATTAGCCTTCTGCTAAACCAGCACCTGTACAAACAGGCCATGAACCCTGATCCATGTGTGAGTTGGCTCCCTCTCTCCTCTCCTCCATCCTCTGCTGCTTTGAAACACACACCACTCTGCCAGGGGACACACACCTCACCTCAGCAGAACAACTATTGAACTTGACTTCCAAAGTGCACCCAGTGGCTATGGTAATGTTTCGCCATGGAAACCCAAGTTTAGCTGAGCGTACCCAACAACCTAACTCCTGTTCCACCTGCCCTAGCTAGCTGCTAGGTAGGTGTCAGAGAGGATTAAACAGACTCAGTGTATGATTGGTATTCTCCAGCAGGGTCTAAATATAATGACCTATGACAAACTGTACAGATTGTGGTGTTGAATACGCAAACCATAATGTTGAAGCGCCCAAAGTCAAAATCCTTTGCTTATTGGTTGTGGTGCAACCAATTTGATGCTATATTTATAATGCTATTGTACATATAGCATTAAAATGTTGAAAATCTGATTACCACCTAGCTGATCATTGTCTGCAGCCGGCTCGGATCGTAGTCTAATGAAACAGGCAGGGAGAGTTAGCTCGTCCGTGGTGGTTGGCGAACCCTGGCAACCTTCTGGCCCGTAGCCCTTCGTGGCATCGACTGTGGCACAAAAGCATGCTGAAGTGGCAAAGTCGATATCCACGTTTATAAACACAGGGTTCCTACAGCTACTGTTATTTGTGGTTGTAAATATTATTTGGAGTTAATTTTATGAGGGGGAGGGTGTTGAATTTATTTTACAGTACAAGGGGAGGGTCGTGTGAAAATATTTGTAACAGTGGGGAGGGGGTGGATTTTTTTTTAATGACACCTCGAGTTGGTATGTCCCTAAACCTGACCTCTGGGCGCAAACACACACAAACACACACACTATTGAACTAAATGCACCACAGTCTCAATCCAGCTAACTACGGATAAATAAAAAAGACTTTAAACATAACAGCACTATAATGATGCAATAAAAAATACCTTGTTATCTACTCACATTTGTATGAATTGTGAATTTGCCTACGGAATATGCCATGATAAACTACAGTTAAAATTCAAATTTCTTTCAGTTGGCTTATCAGGGTGAATGAACTGCAACAGCCCCACAAGGTGAACATTCACAGGTGTCGTAAAAGCAAGCACACTGCCAGTCAGTTGGTTACAGTATGACCATTCTTCGAGAGATAAAACATTACAAAGCCACTGGCACAAACACAACAAGTGAAGTGATACTTTGCACAATAGCACAAGTTCATAAGATGTGAATGGCTGCCATGGAGAGTTGACTCCCTGCCCACCTCTACGTTTTACTACCCTAACTGTCTGACTCCCATTTTGAACCCAGTCGACACAGCGTGAACCAATAACAGCTTTACACAGCTCACTGTTTAAACACGGAGCTCCGTTGGACAATGGCCCCGATAGGTAGGGGGCAGAGGTACACAGCACGGCAGTACCTAGTCAAAGTAGGGGCCGCAGGGACTATCCCTCACGTGCACTGAGAAAGCATGGACCTGTCCTGGCCCTTTGGTAATGAAAGAAGGGAAGGTAGCAGCCGCCATCTGGACTGGAGGATTGTCTTTGGAGGGTGGAGAGCAGAGCAGACACGAGAGATCCTGCACACATTCCTCACAGACCTGGAGCTGCACAGCATTTCAAAACACCAGATAATCAGACGAGATGTCTGTCTGTCCATTGTGTTAGTGTATGATTGTGATCTTGGTCAAAGTTGGCACGGCCTCTAGCATCTTGTTCTAACACATAATGTCACGAGTCGCAAGTTAAAACACTGAAAAAGGTAGGCAAAGGGGAACCTAGAAACGCAAGACCTGAAAAATGATCAAGACAGGAGGAAACATAAGGGCACCTGTGACTTGGTAGAAAAAGGTGCATTCTTCTATTCCCAACAAAATAATCTTCAATACATAACTGCAAACAGCATTCTTTTTTTTTTATTGTTCAGTAGATGGTAAATGTCATAATAAAACCCCTCAGTTATCTTATGCAGCCTTCAGAGTCAAAGCTTTAGCTATCTATTTGGCATGTCATCACCACTACCATACTCCTCCCTTCTGTTTGGCTTACCTCTGATGCAAGACGGAAGGGAAAGATGATATCTAGTCAGTTGTACATCTGAAACGTGTGTTGCGCATTTAACCCAAAACCTCTGAATCAGAGAGGTGTGGGGGGCTGCTTTAATCGACATTATCGGCTTCGGGGAATAGTGTGGAGCTCAATTCGTAGCTCAATTGGTAGAGCATGGCGCTTGTAACGCCAGGGTAGTGGGTTCGATCCTCGGGACCACCCATAAGTCGCTTTGGATAAAAGCGTCTGCTAAATGGCATATTATTTATAGTGCCTTGGTCAGGGACAGAACAACAGATATTTACCTTCTCAGCTCGGGGATTCGATCCAGCAACTTTTTGGTTACTGGCCCAACGCTCCTACCCGCAAGGCTACCTGTCGATGCGAAGATATATTCAAACTGAGTGGGGTGGTAGACAGACAGTCCTTGAGTGGCCCAGCCAGAGCCCGGACTTGAACCCAATCGAACATCTCTGGAAAGACCTGAAAATAGCTGTGCAGCGACGCCCCCCCCATCCAACCTGACAGGGCTTGAGAGGATCTGCAGAGAAGAATGGGAGAAACTCCCCAAATACAGGTGTGCCAAGCTTATAGCCTAATACCCAAGAAGACTCGATGCTGTAATCGCTGCCAAAGGTGCTTCAACAAAGTACTGAGTAAAGGGTCTGAATACTTACGTAAATAGTTTTTCAGTTGTTGTTTTTTTTGGTATAAATTTGGCTACATTTTCAAAAAAACAGTTTTTGCTTTGTCATTATGGGGTATTGTGTGTAGATTGATGAGGGAAAAAAACAATTTAATCCATTTTAGAATAAGGTTGTAACGTAACAAAATTTTGAAAAAGTTGAGGGGTCTGAATACTTTCCGAATGCACTGTATGCTCACTAACAATCTGTTTCAATCTGACAGTTCACTTTAAATGAAGTTGCATAATGCCATGGAGGTGGTGAGTGGACTGGAGGATTACTTGGCTGGCAGTGTAAGCCGATCTCATCACATCGTAGATAACGCAGATAGTCAGTAGCAGCACTGACAACCAACCAGAATCAGTCAGAGAGAAGGGCAACCGGACACTGAGTCAGCCACTGAGAGAGAATTGACTAACATCTTCACAAAACGATTACCCCACCAGCAATGTGGGAGTTTTCCTATTCGATCCTAAAAACGGAAAAAAAACACCCAAACTCTTTCTGATAGTCTACTCCATCCCTTTCCTGCTATGTCAAGTGGAGCAGAGCACTGAGTTTTAGTAAATTACAATTTGATGTTGGCTCTTTTTTTAATCAAGTCTGAGCTGATGGGCCAGAAGGTCATCTGGTGCGGTTCCAAACGAGGAGTGTAAAAACTGCACTAACCCAGATAGTTAATTACATTTTGATATTATGCAATCTGGTCGGGTAGATGATGTAACCCCAAAGACAACATGTCATTATATTTGTGTAGCTATTCGAGGCACTAACTGTGTGTGTAGCTATTCAAGGCATTGCCGAAACTTTGGTTAGGTTTACCCATTAAATAACATTGGTTAGGTTTACCCATTAAACAACGTTGGTGAGGTTTACCCATTAAATAACGTTGGTTAGGTTTACCCATTAATTAACATTGGTAAGGTTTACCCATTAAATAACGTTGGTTAGGTTTACCCATTAAATAACGTTGGTTAGGTTTACCCATTAAATGACGTTGGTTAGGTTGACCCATTAAATAACGTTGGTTA